CTTCCTCCTTGTACCTCTATTGTTTGAGCTCTCTTCAAGGATGGGGAAGGAAGGATGGAGGTTCTCCTTGTCTTGCTTGGGTTGGTGCTGGCCGAGAGAGAGGATGAGGGAGAGAGAGGTGAGGTTTCTTTTTTGGCATTTTTGCCAAATGAGTGAGGATGGGGTCCTTAGGATGTCAAGCTTGTCCCTCCCATCTCCTCAAGGTTTTCAGACCATGTTTGAGGCAAATCAGCCCCCTTTCTTGTGGCAAATTCGTGGGTTGGCCCCCACCCATGTGGGAGGTCAACCCTTTTTGTCCAGAAGTGTACAACCGGTCCCGAAAGTTGTATTTTTCCGACTGTTTTAATTATATTTTATTTTATCGGGTCAAATAAATTATATTATGTGTTCTCCATCATTATGACTCTTATAATGAATATTCATTCCCCAACTTTAATTTATAAGTCCCCGAAATTTAATTTCGGGCTTTTATCGGTTAAATTGCCAATACCGGTATTTGGGCCTTTTTGATCAACCGGTCAACTCTATATTATTTCTTTGGACCAAATAAATTATCCACCACTATATAAATGTTATATTGACCAAGATGAATAAACTATAGGGTCTCGGGAATATCGGGCGGCCCCCGTTCCCGGTGCGGGCCCCACGTGCGAATTTACTATTCACGCAAAAACATTAATAAAAATTCACAACTTCGAATACTCGTTAACCATTCCATAAGTTCAATACATTATTTACTTAAAAGTAAATACTTTTTGGGGACGGTGTTACAAGTTCACCCCCCCTTAATTGGGATTTCGTCCCCGAAATCCACGTGTCTAATCGAAAAGAAACGGGTATTGCTCCCTCATTGAGACCTCAGTCTCCCAGGTTTCTTCTTCGACTCGATCCAAAAAACTATTTTTCAAAGATACGAATTAATTTTTGTTTCTTCTCGTAACGTTTTATTTTTTCCCAGAACAAGAGCTGCTCGGCCGAAGTCCTGTGGTACGGAGCTCGGACCAAAAGACCTGTGTTGTTCTGGTCGCTCCGGAACCAGAAGACGTGGTGTTCTAGTCGCGCACAAGAACAGTTCTGGTCCACTACAACAGTTAATGCCCAACGTTCTTCTCCTTTAATGCGTCTTTAAATGGACAATTTTTCGGCATATTAATGCCCAACGTGCTGGTCATTTATGTCCAACGTTCAGGTTCATTAAATGTTACTTAACACACAACAAATCCTTCCATATATATAGTTGGCAGATGTTTTGCAACAACACACGTTCATACACAGTATTCCGAATATTTCATAAGTGTGCATACTCTGTTTCTATTCCCTGGAACAATTTGTTGAGTGCTCAAACAATTGTTCGTAGTCATCGTATCTTGGGAAACGGTAGTTGCAACGCTCCTAGCACCGTGGGAGGTAACAGCTACATTTTAAGGACCTCATGCGTAGCACGAGCTTTGGCTAAATTCTGCTCCTTTTTCGATTTTCTTTTATTAGTCATTTTATTAATTAATTTTCGTTGTTTTTCGAAGCACACCCAACACTACATTAAGGCGTAATGAGGCGGGTTGATCTCTAAGTAGAATAACATTATGTTGTAAAATTCGGACAGGAGAGCGACCCGGAGCGATGGCCGGGTCAAGGGTCAACCTGGTCAACGCCCGGAAAACCCGGTCAACACACACACACACACACACACATATTGGTTCAAGTGAGAAATGCATCTAATGTGAGAAATGAGAATGAATCTCAGCCGTTGGATTTCCGATTTGCACTGAAAATAGATTGATGTTGCAGTAAGATTTAATTTTTTGCAGTGTTGCACTAAAACTGTTTCATATTGCACTAAAATTTGACGATGTTGCATCAAAACATCTTCCTGTAGCACTAGATGGCTGTAATACGGATTTTTCAGAAAATGCCACCAAAGTGGGTTGCATATTTTAGTGCAATATAAAGTGTTTTACTGCAAAATAGTCGAATCCAACGACTGAGATTCATTCTCACTTCTCACCTAGAAGGTTCTTCTCACTTGAACCTTACCCTATATATATATATATGTATGTATGTATGTATGTATGTATGTATGTATGTATGTATGTATGTATGTATGTATGTATGTATGTATGTATGTATGTATGTATGTATGTATGTATGTATGTATGTATGTATGTATGTATGTATGTATGTATGTATGTATGTATGTATGTATGTATGTATGTATGTATGTATGTATGTATGTATGTATGTATGTATGTATGTATGTATGTATGTATGTATGTATGTATGTATGTATGTATGTATGTATGTATGTATGTATGTATGTATGTATGTATGTATGTATAATATTTATACACACACATGCATATATAATATTTAATTTTATAGGTAGAAAATGTTATTCCTTCATAAATTAATAATGATGATACAATATAATTCAATTAATAAGAAATCATTATTTTGGAGTTTGGTTGTAAAAAAATTAAAATAGATTTGGTTGTAGATATGAAAATATATATAGCTAAAATTTCAGATTTTTTTTTTTCATTTTATGTATTACATATTGATGTCTTATGAAAGATCTTAAAAATTCATAAATTTTGATATAGTTTTATAGGAGTTTGAAACAATTTGGGATAATAATGATGTCACCATTAAGGAAGTCTGTCTTCTCTACAGCGGCGTAAGGCCGCCCCTCCCCCCATTTTTTTTTACTTTGTCAACCCAATCATCTATTTATACACTCCTCCATTCACCTTTATTTCCATTTTTACTACCTCTTATAATCCTTCACTACACTTAATTAAAAGTCTAAAAGTTCCATTTTTATTTTTTTGACTCCTAATTTCCTTAACCACTACAAATGGTCTTACTACTACTACTCATGATCTTTCTTTATAAGCACTAACTTCCTATGTAATGAGACTTTATTACTCCGTATAATAATATTGCCTCTTTCCTTTTTATTATTATTTCTTAATTTATGAATTAAATCAATAACTTTTTATTTCATCTGATATTATTTTTACATTTTTTATTGAGTTGCTAACAATTTATATAATTATATATATGAAAACTGCATTACGTATGTGCATATTTAGTATGATGCATGGCACCTTTAATAATTTCATGTGCACCTTTAAGTAAATAAAATGCACACGAAACTTATTACTAGTAGATATTTTTGTTAGCCATTCAAAGTCTCAGTTGATGCACTCATGTAATCTTATGCTGCACTTTGATATTATATGTACCTTAAAATGTGAAATGTGTATAAAATGCATGACACTTTAATTAGTTGTTTAAACAATTTTGTTGCATTAATCACGTCTACCCGTAAGATAATATTTTAACTAATTGTGTGTTTGAAAAATAGGAGTATTTCAAGTTAATAAAGTGTTACTCTCAATTATTGTTTTACACACTAATCTCTACAATCTTATTAGAGTGAATAAGAGTAAGAGTGTTTTAAGTAATAAAAATGTGTTGGTGGAATGCACAGTTATAGGTATATGTACATTCTGTTTTGACTCTTGTACATCTAGCTAATTTAATATACATTTCACCCCATTCCGTTTCATTCCGTTCCGTTCCCTTCCATCCCCGTTAGTATACTACTTTGTCCCGTTTCTCAACCCAGTATTCAGTGTAGACGTATGAATTGAAACTTATCCCCTGCATCAAGAGATAGATGGTCCAGGGAACAGTGCGAAGTAGCTTACTCCTTGGCATGTCCAATAGGCAACAGTCCAAGGCATCCAAGGCATCACTTTTGTTTGTCGATCTCTTTCTTAATCTCATGTCTTCGGAAGTGCAAATGATATACGGAGTATTAACTTTATAAAGGTCTTTTGTTTACTCATACCCTAAGAATCTCAAGCTATATTGAAATTAATGACAGACGTAGTATACCTCTTCGGCCACTTATGATCTCAATTTTTGTTTTATCATATGAAAAATCTCAAACTCATGTTTGCTGACATCTTCTTTAGGACCTAATTCCTTTATGTTAAAGACTGATTACTTCAGACCGATAAGGTTTTGCGATAGAAAATGTGACAAAGGCACAAGATGAGGTTTTGAGATTTTTTCCAGAGATCTCGACAGGGAGAGGATCTATGTACAGGCTATGGTGGGTTGAAGCTCGGGGTAACTTTTAAAAAAATAAATTTTTTACTGTAAATATTTTAATTTTTCACATTTAGCCCACCCTGCTAATATTTAAGCCTTATATAATTGTTATTCAGCCCAGTACATCCCGGATTCCTGGATCCTCCCCTAGATCTCGAGCTACAAATTTTATGAGGAATATGTTTTTGAGGTAAGCAAGCAATAAAAGAGGGTAAGAAGGGAAGAAAAGAGGAGAGACCTTTGCTACAAGCGCATTATATTAGATGTCTATAAAAATTTAATACAAACTATGTTGTTTTTGTTCAAAACTATTCGCTTGTCACATTGGTCTGCCTTGGTTTCTTCCTAAGTCCGGGTTTGATTGAAGAACATTGTGTATTTGTGTGTGGTTGAGTTGGGTGGGGGCAGGGGAGATTTGTACTTGTGTACCGCCGAAATAATTTCAATTTGGACCAATATATAATATCATATTCGTGGCGGTTTGAGAAAAACTGACATGTTTTACGTAGAAGATGACATTTTTTCGACGGTTGGAGGTGGCGGTGCTGGGAGGGACAGATGTAACAGCATAGGCCTACATATTTCATTTATTTATATATTACTCACTAAATGTTTTACTTTTTAGTTTTTTTGTTTACTTTTCTAACTATAAATTTATATTCTTTATATTATTTTTTATGTTTCTATTGTAAATAAAACACAATTTTCTTATTAAAGTATAATAAGGGTTGAATATATAGGAAGAGAAAGTATGAAGTATAAATTACTTCTATTTTATCACTACAAAAACTAAATGGAATTTTGTTCAAAAAATTTCTTACAACATAGCAGGGGCTCTTAAATAGACCTAAATGGGATTTTGTTTAAGATTTACGGAGTGCTATTTATGTTCTTCCTATAAGATTTTTTTTAAACTTTCTCACTATAAACGTGAAACCAATTTTAGCATTGTTGCAGCACCCCAAACATCAGGAATGTGATGTATAAAATACTCCGTATTATATAGACCCCTGCGTTTATCCATTTTAAGGCTTGAAATTGCATGTAATTTTTTTAGTAGGTTCAAACAGATTAATTACATTAACCCGTAATACTTCATTCAGTTAATCCTACCGAAATAGCATTGGGCATTTTCCTCCGCGCATAGCGCGTCGGGATACTAGTTTGATAATAAGTATTTATACATCTTATATACATTACTCCGTATACCTTTATCTCTTCATATTATCTATACTAAAAATAAATTTTATTTGAACGTTACAACTCACAATATAATAGTGCTGTACTTGAGTTAATGTTATTAAATATACTACGTAATATTTAATCCTAACCATTATACTAGTTTGTGGGAGGTGAGTCAGCCGTGGCTATCAGGAGTTATATATCATATACTTGATGGAAGCCAAATAATTTATTTGAACATGAATTTTTTTATAATGGAGCCTTTAAGTTGCTAAACGTATGTGGGAGTAAAAGCTCAATATTAAGAGCATCTCTAATGGGAGGTAATATGAATCGATAAAAATGCATTCCCAACTAAGCAAAATAGATAATGGGGTTAGAATATACTCTCCAACAATGCAACCGTCTATAATCTTCGTGGCGCTGAGTTGGAATAAACAACTGTCCACACCTTCAGCTCCTCTTTCTGAAAATAGAGGGCGTGTGAGAAGGTATGAGTCAGCAAGAAAAGATTTGTGACTTCCGATGATGAGATTTTTTTTACTAAACTCAAATTATTTGGTAAAAAAAGCCCAAGAACAAATTTCAATTATTTTGCATCTTCCGAACCCCTAGATATGCCAGACTTTCTTGGCATCATCACTAACCCCCTGGGATCAAATTTTGTATGTTCGCTAGCCCGCCACCACTAATCCTTGTTCACCCCGCCGTTCATCAGCACCGTCCCGTTCAGGCATTCACAGCCACCAGCGGCAGTTGCATGTGAGGGCCTCGACATCGCCAGTCGCGTAGATCTGGCCATTCCCTCCATCCTCATTGAAAAATTGCCCGAGTCATGGAAGGACTACAAGCGCGACCTCAAGCACAAATTTGGACCCATGTCGTACAATGAAGTGATCACACACATTATCATTGAAGACACCAATAGGAGGGAGGGCTCCAAGGCTCAAATCATGCAATACACTTCCAAGGCCAACCTAAGCTAGTGGAGACTCAAAACCAAAGGAGGTATAATAATAATGAAGATAATAATAACAAGCCTAATTACAATAAGCCTAAATCTAACACTAGCTTTAAAAAGAAAAGTCATTGTTACGTGTGTGGAAAAACGGGACATTTTGCGGCACAATGTAGGAAAAGGGCAACTTTGAGAAACAACCAAGGTTGTCAAAATCTCGATTTAAATCGTAAAATCGTACGATTTTACGATTCTACAGTAATAAAGCGATTCAAATCGCAGGTAAAATCGTAAAATCATAAAATCGTACAAAATCGTAAACAAATCGTACTAAAATCGTGTAGAATCGTATAAAATCGTAGCAAAATCGTAATAAGTTTTTTTTAGTGACTACAAATTGATACATAATTCCAATAATAATAATAATAATAATAATAATAATAATAATAATATGAATAGTATATTTTAAAGAGTAATGGATGCTTGTGTTATTTAACTATTTTTATGTGTTACACATGTTTAATGTTATTAATCACTACATTTACTTTATAAAAACAGATTACAAATCTTGTTTTTGACCTTGTAAGTATAGTTTTATGTAATGAAATGATATAATACCATTAACTTGCAACTTAATTTTAATATTATTTTTATTTATTTTATAATTATTAAAATATGTTTGATAAAATCTTACGATTTGCGATTCGATTTTCAAAAACATTTATCGATTCGATTCAAAAATACGATTTTAACAACCTTGGAAACAACAAACCACCTAGACCAAGTGCAAACTTGGTTCAAGGTGATGATGTTATTGCGGCGGTTGTTTCTCAAACTTGCTTGGTGTCCGATGTGAATGAATGAGTGGTAGACTCTAGGACTACCAAGCACATTTGTAAAAATAAAAGTGCTTTTTCCTCCTATACTCCTATAGGGGATGGTGAAGAACAAGTGTATCTTGGTGACTCTCACACAACCAAGGTGCATGGTAAGGGAAAAGTTGTTCTTAAGCTCACATCGGGGAAAACATTGTCCTTGAATGATGTACTTCATGTGCCTGAAATTCACACTAATTTGGTCTCGGTTTCACTATTGGGGAGTTAAGGTGTCCTTTGAATCGGACAAAATTGTGATGACTAAAAATAATGTCTTTGTGGGGAAAGGCTATTGTAACCATGGACTGTTTGCTCAATGTTTCTGAAATAATGATGAATTGAATGTCTTTTGCTGATTTGATTGACTCTTATAAGAGGAATGATCATGTACATATGGATGTACGGGCCGGGGAGCTCCGTACGGACAAAGTCATTAGAGGCTCTTCCGGGTATAATTTTTTGATTATTTTTTTTTGAAATGTTCTTCATTAAGTCTAGTTTATCCATACCAAATTTCAGCTCAAAATTCGATCGGGAAAGCAGTCAAATAAATTCTTGAAATATATGGCACATTCTGCGCACATATAATGTGCACGATATTTCAAGAATTTATTTGACTACCTTCCAGATCGAATTTTGAGCTGAAATTTAATATGGATAAACTAGACTTGATGAAGAACATGCTTAAAAAATTTCATCAAAAAATTCGACCAGGAAAGACCTCGGATGGCTTTGTCCGTACGGAGCTTCCTCAACCCTCCTCTTATAATGTGTGGCATACTAGATTAAGACATGAAAATGATTCTTATATTTAATTGCTAAATGATTGTGATTTGATTTCTAGTAAAAATATAATATAATGCCACTACAAAATTGTGATGTTTGTGTTCAATTTAAAAAAAAGAAATGGAGAGATTCTGTTTTTATTTGGGAATTTTCAGTAGCATTCAAATTGTGTTGTTTGATACCGTTAGGCGTTATACGTACTCTATGAAACTCCTAAATATCCTATTTTTTATATATTTAGTGATGTAATATTAAACAAAATGTATTTGGAGGTGATCAAATCTATATAAACTTTGTTAAAGAATTTTACCATTCGTAGAGGTGGCTTCAGAGTTGCTGTCATGTCACACTTAAAGATGTAGTTCTTTTCAAAATACAATAAAGACATAGAGCCCGTTTGGAGAACTCTGTTTTCGGCTTATCAGGCTTATCAGCCAGCTTTTTCACCAAACACGTAACTTTTACTTTCGCGCGCTGAATTGTGTAATAAGCCGAAAAAGTAAATGTGAGTTACTTTTCTGGCTGTATTGGCTGAAGTTACTGTAGAGGACCATTTTAGCTATTTTTACATATAATTTTTTCTTTAATTTATTAATAAAATATATTTTTAAAATATTTTTTCCTTAAATCAGCAGAATCAGCCAAAACAGCCACTCCAGCCAGAATATCATAAATTTCAGCAGAATCAGCCAAAACAGCCGATTTTGGTGCTACCAAACGGGCTCATAATTGCCGGAAAAGATAAAGATGAAATTTAAGGTTGCTTATCTTAATAAAAATGAAATTATCTTCTTATGAATTTTAGAAGGGTTATGCCCCTATTTTTTAAAGTACTTAAATTGGGGGTGCTTAGATTTTTTTCAAAACCTATCCCATGGAGTGAAAATGAGTTTTATAACTTTTGGCTACTGTTGCATGAACTGAAATAGTGAAGCATGTATATAATTTTCTTAAATTAAATAAATAATGTGTTAGTGTGCAATACCTTAAGCTATATTGCTGTGATCGATTTTTTGGAGAATGTGTACACTACATGATGCAATGTGTGTATTTATATGTTGCTGGAATTGTTTATATGCTTATTTCAGTAGTCATATTGGGTTGATATATGAAGACCAAAAAAGTAATCTTGACTATTGAAGCCATAACCCATAAGGAAGAAAGTTGATAATATACTATCGTTATATTGAGAAAGATCTTAAGAAGTTTGACATTTCAGTGTTAAATTGAGAATATCCTTTATGACTTTAATATATAAATATTAATAACAAAACACATAATGTGATTCTGAGGCTCAATATGTACATTTAAAATGTGAGATTATTTCAATTAACGAAATGTGTGAACCCATCATTATTTTATAAGGTCGAAAGATGGAGCCAATATATGAAATCCAAATTGGATAGATGAGATACCTTAAAAAATATATATTGAGATATTTGGGAGGTACCATTAATTATGGTATATTTGATTGAGATTATCCGTTGTAATATACTGATACAACGATGATATGTTTTATTGAGAGTTATCCATTGTACTAGAGCATTACAATGATGTTTTATGAGAGTTATCTATTGTACTATAATGATACAATAATGTTATATAGATTTTATTGAGAGTTATTCGTTGTATTACGAGATACAACGATGTCGTTTGAGTCGGCTCACATGAAATAAAATTAAAAATAGTGGATATACATTCACCCTTAAATGTGGTGTAATGACGTAATGAAATTATTTCCATTAATTTTGTGAAGTTTCAAGGAATTAGTTACTCCTTTGACAGAATCCCTAGGATGTAAAATGATAATATAACCGAAACATCGAAGGAAATGAGACTATTGTCACTTTGAAACAAATGGGGATGAGAACCCAACTTGTGTGATTGGAGATCCCATGAAGCAAGTTCATATGGGTAATAACAAGTCTTCCATTTAGTTCTGCTAGTCTAAATAAAATTGTCCATTTCCATGATGTGAGATTATAGGCTAGAAACCGCATTCTTTGAGAGGGTGAGCTAAAAGTTCTTAATGATCATCATAGCCCTTAATTTTAGGGTGGTGTGCAAAAGCGTTACTCACTTGATGATATCACCTATATGAGTGTGAGGTGGGGCCGCCTCTATTAGTACTAATGTTCACCTGAGCAGCGAGCAACATTCGTATTTACATGTATATATATATGATATATATATATATATGATGAGCTTCTTGGTTAATTTCACAGTTGGTAGCTACGAACTAATTCCCCCTTACACAATAATTCTACTCAGCTGGATTAATATAAATTTTCACTCTCGTTGTTTTAGTTACCGGCTTACGCCGAAAAGCTCGTTTTGGCTCTGTTTGGAAAATGGCTGATCAGTTAATTTTCAGCTACTTTGACCTGAAATAGATTATTTGACTATCCAAACCGTTGTGTTTCTCGTTTGGCAAACAGATGGTTCCTTTGGCTGGTGAGACTCAAAAAGCCTATAAATTCTTTTTATACCCTTATTAAACAAATCCACTATTTTATATATCCAGCTCTTCACCTATTTCTTGGGGCATGCAATTCGGGAAGGCAAAAAAGGAAGTGCAAAATCATATCAATAAACTACAAATTGATGTTCTTCACTTTCAGATGAACTGCGAATGAGGATAGAAAAGAAAAACAGACCAAAAAAATAATAAACAAACGAAAGAGGACAACGAAGATGTTTCAAATTGAAATCAGATTAAGCTCGAGATCCATACCTTCGAAATAGAAGCTTAGAACGAAGATGTTTCAAATTTATTTGTCATAATATGATGTTATATTTTGTTGAGATTATCTATGCCAATATATCAATTTTTAATACGGTATGCCA